ACGTGAGGGTTACTGCGGTGTTTTGTAATTACCAAGGCTTTGGGAGAGTGTTATCTTTAACCCCATCATCTTCCCCTCCTTCCTTTGCTGTAATAACAGTTGCAAAACTGTTTTTAGAGTAAATCCACAAGCGGACCCCTAGACGCTCCCGATCGACGACACATGACTTAAGCTGACAGTGCCGTCCCGTCCTCCCATGCTAAGGACCGAGACGCTAAGGGGCTCGGCGGGCTTAGGAATGGCCTCCCGGGTCTCAACACAGACCCGGTCTCCATCCTAAAGCCTTTCTGCAGGCTGAGCCGCCCCAAGCGCCCTCGGCTTCCCCCCACCGCTGTCTGCTCACATACCCTCGCGGACACTCCCGGGGAAGGCTTGCTGGTGGCTGGGCCGCCAGGTCCTGCGTTTCCCAGTCTGGCTCTTGAATCCGACCGGACGCGTTTCCTCCCCGCGCGCCGCAGAGCCTCCCGTCCGCCACCTCGAAGACGGCCGCCCCGGCGCCATCTCGCACCACCCGGGTTACACCGGCAGACCCACAAAGGACGCCGACATAATACGTCACCAGGCCGAAGCAATCGACCGCGCCCCCCGCCGAGCGCACGCTCGGAGCTCCACCGCTTCGGCCTGGGGCGGCTTCGGGAAGAGCGGCGCCGCGCGGCGCTGTGGGCGCCACCTACAGCCCTGGAGGGCGCGCGTCATGGCGGCGCTCGGCTCGCTCCCCGGGACCCCGGACCTGCCCACGCTGCACGCCAGGTTACAGGACTTGCTGCGCTTCCTACGGGGCGCCCTGGCCATTTCCAACGCGCACACGGTGGATTTCTACACCGAGTCGGTGTGGCGGGAGCTGGTCGACCAGCCCCCGGAGAGCGTGCTGGCGGCGTTGAGGGGACCGGCGGCCAAGGCCGAGCCCGAGGCGCGGGAGGCGCTTCCGCCGCGGGAGGAGGAGGCGGGACCAGGTGATTTGCTAGGCGGCGGGGCGGGAGGGGACGGGGCGGGGCGGGAGGGGACGGGGCGGACGGACTGCGCGCCCCCTCCGTGCGCCCCCTGGTGGAACTCGGTGGACGTCGCAGGGACTTGTGAGACGTGAATGGAGGGATCTGAAGAGTGAGGGTTTGTGAGGTCCCCTCGTTTCATCTTTGGGTGTTGGTCTATTTCCCCAATTTAAGGAAACCAAGGAACAGGGAAGAGGCGTTCGTTCCCGGAATAATTCAACATTTTGGAAATACAAGAAGGTTATTTGAGGGCAAGTAGAGTATTGACGAATAGAGTCGAGAGCCTGTTTTCTCAGACAGTACCAGGAAGATTGTAGCTTGGATTTGGACGGTGATAGCGAAGTCTTGAATACTCTTTAGTCCGTTTTGAAAGCATGTATTTTCAGCATGCCTTGAGGTTTTCTGAGCTCTGGAGTTTCCAAACTTCAGGAATCTTAGATTCTATGAAGTGTCTCTTTTGAAATAACAGCAGCTACTGGAACTTCTGCTGCTTGCTTCCGAGTTTCCAGTCGTGGCGTGTCCTTAGTGAACTTCGTCCCTGGAGCATCCTGAAAATGCAATGTGCACAAAGGGTGGGAGAATATAATGGAACTTAGTAAATTTTGGTTCTTTCAAGTCGTCCGTGAACCGTTGTGGAGAGCAGGGACCATATTTGTCTTAAGCATGGGTGGGCTCCAACACGCGGAAAGTTTCTTGGTGTGCATCAAGGGCTCCGTAAATATTGGTGAACGAATGAATCATGTTGGCTTTCAGAAGAAAATGCAAAGAAAAATGATGATGACAAAGTGCAGAGCGAAGCTTTAATGTGTGGTTAACTGGGTCTTCCCTCGATGAGATTACATTATTTTGCATATACTAATAACTGGATTCATTGGTGTGTGTTGTATGTCCTGCAGTTTGCTTTTGCTAAGTGGAAAATATATATATATATATTTCTTCCTTCTTTCTCTTAGCTCTCTCTCTCTCTCTCTCTCTCTCTCTCTCTCTCTCTCTCTCTCTCTCTCTCTCTCTCTCTGTGTCTAGTTGTTTTCATTTCTCAGATAAGTTTTCAACATTATTAATCCTTTTTAGCACATTAAGGAGGTTTTTGTTATGATTTTGACAGTTTTATGCCTGTAGGTAATGTATTTTAATCCTATTCTCCCATCATTACCTTATCTTATTCCCCCCTCCTGCTTTAACTCTTCACTTTCTTCTTTGTAATTAGCCTCCTCTCTAATGTCTGCGTATGCATGTGTGCGTGCATGTCCGTGTGTGGCCCACTGAGTTCAATTGGGGTTGCTTGTATGAGTATGGCTGTAGACTTATTTACTAGAGCGTGGACAATTTGCCAGTGGCTGTACCACTGAGGAAAATGTGTCCTCCTCTTCCAGCACCATCAACTAGCAATAGCTCCTTGGGGGATTTTTTATTTTTACAGCATAAAAGTTGTTATATTGTTCTCCAGTTAATTTCCGAATTCTATAAAATACAATTCTTATTCTTTATTCTAACATTCAAGCTATTCCTCACTGCAAAAAAAAAAAAATTCTAGCATGTGTTTTGCATGCTTATGTGGTATATGGGCATGTGTGTATGCACATTTTTGTGAGGGTTGCACCTGCATGTTTTTGCACATGTGTGTTATGACCTGAGACTGAAGTCCAGTGTCTTCCCTGTTACTCCACACATAATACAGTGAGATAGGATCCCATGTTGAACTTGGAGCGTGTCATTTTGGCTATTCCAGCCAGCCACCTTCTCCACGGAGTCTCTGGTCTCTCCCTCCCACCAGCTGGAATAAGAGGGAGGTGCTGACTAAGTTTTGTCAACTAGATACAAGCTAGAATGACTTGAGAGGAGGAAACCTTAATTGAGAAGGTGCTCCCATCAGACTGGCCCGTAGACAAGTTGTGTGTGTGTGTGTGTGTGTGTGTGTGTGTGTGTGTGTGTGTGTGCAGGGGGGTGGTCTTTATTTAATAATTGATATGGGAGAGCCCAGCCCATTGTGGTAATGCTACCCTTGGCCAGGTAGGTGGCCCTGGGTTGTATAAAAAGCAGGCTGAGAGAGCCGTGGAGAAGAAGCCAGTAAGCTGTGTTTCTCTATCTTTGGTCTCAGCTTCAGGTTTTGCCCCAGGGACCTGCCCTGCTAGAGTTCCTGCCTTGGTTTCCCTCAGTATTAGACTGTAATTGGGATATGTAAGCCAAATAAACTCTTTCTTCTCAAGATGCTCTTGGTTGTGGTCTTTATCCCAGCAGCAGAGCATAAGCTAGGACAGGAGGCTGCTGGACTTTTGCCTTCACATGAGTTTTGGGCAGTGGTTCTCAACCTGTGGGTTGCAACCCTTTCAGAAGTCAAACGACCATTTCACAGGGGTTGCTTAAGACCATCAGAAAATACAGATATTTATGTTACAATTTATAACAATAGCTAAATTACAGTTATGAGGTAGCAAAAAAAAGTTTTTGGTTGGGGGTCACTACAATGTGAAAAACTGCATTAAAGAGTCACAGCATTAGGAAGGTTGAGATCCACTGGTTTGGGGGATCCTAACTTTATCTTTATGGTTATGTGGCAAGCTTTTTACCTGCTGAACCTGCTCTCCAGCCCTGTTCTTTGTAGTATGCTGTGTTTCTTGGGACGTTTTATGCCATTTTAGTGGGAACTGGTGCAGTCTTCTGAGACTAGTATTAGGCATCCCTGAATTACTTGACTTCTTATCTTTTTTTATTTAGCAAATGTGTTTCTAAATACGTACCGTTGTATAATTTTATTTGCCAACAAATTCTATGTAAAGATTCTTAAAATATTATGGTAAAGTTTTCTAGTTTTACATTTAATTTAATTTTCACAAATACTGTAGTTCAATGTGAAAATGCTTTTGGAATGATTGGCTATATTTATGCATTCATTATGGTGTTAATATTGGTATGGTATGAACCCGAATGTCAGTCCTTGTTAATATGTATTATTTCATCCAAAAACATGGGTTGCCTGTTTAAGTAACATATTTTTTCATCTTATGTGCAACTATAAATTAAGCTAGAGCTGCTTAGGCAAGAAAAGAAATCCAACCACAAATTGGGTCATACAATTGACTCATTTTAAAAGCAACAATATGTATTATATGTGTTCTCTTAGTACATTATAGTATGCTGGAGAGATGCAAAGTTCATAGAATTTAACACAACCCATCTTTAATTTTCAACGTTTAGTAAGGCATACTTAACTTTTGGCTATTAAGCAATTAACAAAGATATAACCCAACAGTCAACTATTGCAAAAAAGCAAAGCCTTAAAAACTTTTATTAAATTTACATTAAATAAAAGTTTATTAATTTCCTTTTTAGAGAAAACTCCCTCAACTCATCCAATACTTGGGACATATTATGTTTTTTATCCAAAGGCAAATACCATGAGGCTTTGCTGTAGTGCTGGAATTAATGGAGTTGGAGCCACAGTAGTGATGGGGAGGGTTCCGAATGAAAGGAAATTGTACACCGGGATGGACAGCTAGTTGGACATAGGAACTGAAGGCACACAGTATGTGAAAAATACTGTAACGATTTAACTTTAGCAGTGATTGAAAATGCTATTTATCAACACAGGAAATAGGAAAAGAGAAAGATGTGTCAGGAATAAGAATATTTGTAGTAATGAATACAACAAAATATTTTTATATCCTTGTGAAGGTAATAATCAGAAAGGTACTGCTGTCAATACCTTCCTGAAATTCTGGTCCATTGGCTATGTGATTAACTATTTCTCCACCCTATAACACATTTGTATCTCTAACTTTAGTACATATTTATATCTTTTATTGTATTCTGTATGATCTAAGTCACTCTTGTCTCACCCTAAGATTGTAAGTATTCGGGCTGAAATGAGGTTTTATGCTTCCCTAACAGGCTCAGTGGTGCTATTGAAGTCCTCATAGTGGCCTCAGTGATTGCAACCACTACGGAGTCTTAGGAGAATTCCGTAGTTGATGATGCTACAATAGTAAGTGCATTGAAATATGCTGTCGTTCATGCATGCATGCATCCATCCATCATCCATCATTCATGTTGTGTGCAAAGTACTTTTGCTTTACAACTGAACATAGAGCAGTTTTTATGTTTACTATGATTCTAGAGGTAGATGCCACAGAAACCCTTACACGAATATTTCGCTTTCTTTTCAGAGACATTTATTATTTCAGATATCCTAATTACGTTTGCATTTCTGGAAGCAGGATCACTTTTAGTGAAGAGGGAGGGGTTAAAAGGAGTGATGAAATGGTTACATAGAGAAGCAAGTGTGTATTATCCTAACTTACCGCTGTAGGCTGATCTCTGTCAGAGAAGTTGCCTGACTTTGATAGTCAGGTCCATCAATGCCCGCTGTTATTTTGCTTGCTGTGGCAAGCTGATGGAACTTGAGATCAAGAGCAGAGTGTAAGGTCAGACTGTCACAGTTTGTTTACCCTGACACTTAGTGTGTGCCCATTTGAATCAGTTGTAATCCTGTCAAGTCTTAGGTATTTCCTCTGCAAATGAGATAAGAGCCACAGTTAACTTGCTCACATAGCAGGTGAAATGTCCAACACCAAGTTTGGTGTGTGGTCTTAAACGTGCAGTACCTGTTAGCAATGGGACAGTGAGTTATTATGAAACCTGATGGAGCTCATCTTCCTCAGAGTTCTATTGGACATCAAGTACAATAGCAGGTAAGTAGTTTGAAATTTTACTTGTTATTTACGAATATACATTCATTGGTTTTATTTCTGGTTTTAAAACTTCATGCATTTTTTTCTTGAAGATTCTTACAGTCTGTGTATTTTGCTCTTTTGTTTTCATGTGTATATTGATATCTGGTAGAAAAAAATCAAAGCAGATTAGAGGTATCTTGGCATCCTGTTTATCAAAAATAACCTCTCCTGCTTCTTTTCCACCTTATTTCCTATTTTGTTATTATTTCTGAATCCTATATTTATTTATTGCTGTGTGTTTGATGTATGATGTGTTAGTGTAGATGCATGGACAGTGTACTTTGATGAGTCTGTGGAGGTCAGAGAGCAGCTGGCAGGAGTCAGTTCTAGCCTTCCACCGTGAGGATAGACTCTGGTGGTCAGAATGCTCGGCAAACACCTTTACCCACTGAGCTAACCCACTGGCTCTCCAGCTAATGCTCTCTCCCAGCCCTTCTTACAAGAAACTGACCTGGGATAGCGATGTAGGTCATACAGACAAGACAAGTGAAGCAGACATTGGAGGAAGATCAGGAACTTCCAGTAGAGGGAAGTGTAGGCAAAACAATGAAGCCACAGGATATGCAGATGGAGCAGGCAGCAGATTTTAAAAATGCGTCTTTCCCTGTAGGAAGAATATTTGCACACAACTAAGAAGTAACTAAAACTCAACAGCACTGTGGCTTCTGTGCTACCTCTTACACAGACACGGCTGTGAGGACCTGGACATTGGCATTGCCCCATGGCCTTCTCACGTGCTGGACCACAGAAGAGAGTAAACACAAGATCATTGGCCTTTTTCATTCTCTTGGAGTCTCTAAAAGCAGTGAATCGTGGCTGTTACAGACTGAATCACTCAGGAAAAAAATAACCTCAGCTGTGTTTCTGGGATGAAAAAACAATTAGTTGTGGAACTCTAGACTGAATAAACTGAGAATGAATCAAAGTATGTAATCCTTTAAAAAGTGACTGTTGTTGAAATGTGCTGCCACATTAACTTAGCTCCAATACCCAAAATTTCTGGGGTGCTTGTAATGAAAAAAGCAAATTATTGGTTGAGGTCAAAGTGGGATATTTTCAAGAATTTTCAATAGGATAACTAACTTTTCTAACAGAAACATCACATTTCTTTCTGTTGGCATCATTGCCCAATAAGTGACGGATATAATGGCCCTCTGCTCACTGTGAGTTAATACTTTTATTCTATCACACTCTAAGAAACTGCCCCCCTGGAACCTTCGGATATTGAGACTGCTCTTAAACCTAAAAGTCTCAATCCCACCCAGCTTGCATCTACAACCCTCCCCCCCTCCGTCTGACTCCCTCCCCTCTTTGACCACATAACATCTCCCAGCTCAGCCAGTTCGGGCGCTGGGACTGAATCCCAATCGGGAGGGCAAACGGGCTCCTTTGTCCCAATAGCCTGCCTGCAGCAAGCAAGGTTTACGAGCCACCCAAGGAGCAAGGAGATCCGGTCTGGGCACCAGGAGAGATGGGTGAGTGAGTTTCTGACCACGGCAGCAGCCCGGGACAGGGAACTCAGATGTTCCTCATCCCTCCTACAAGGTAGGCCCCTTGTTTATGAGCCACCCAAGCAGCAAGGAGATCCGATCCAGACACCAGGAGAGACATCGGGCTTGCATCCACAACCCACCCAGAGCAGTGCTGAGGAGTTCCATCTGGACGGTCGTCCATGTTTGGGTGCTGAGGAGTTCCAGCTCGGACGGGATGGTCCCTGCTTCTACACTGAAGAGATACACCCAGAGACTCAGTCACAGCAAAGACTGGACCAAGACACCAGGCCTCTCCTGGCTCCATTTGAACGAGGAGATGGGAAGGCGCCAATGCAAGACTTCCTCCAACAACCTGAAAGGCAACATGACTTCACCAGAATCAAGGGATCCCGAAATAAGAAGAATTGTACACCCTACTCCAAAAGAATCAGAAGAAATCGACTCAAAAGTGAATTATATGAAAATAATAGAAGACCTTAAACAGGAGGTGAAAAACTGCCATAAACAATTAGAGATTACAAACAAAAAGGTAGAGGAAATGAATAAATCGCT